GGGGGGGGGGGTGTGCAGAGCGAGTCGGGTGGGGATCGCAAGGCAACGGGTGGGTCTGACATCAAAAGGTCCTTGGTTTTACAAACAAAGGCCATCGCGGAGCTGTACACGACAGAGCCCTGCCTGCAGCGCGCTGGCAAGTGGCTGAACAGGCTGAGGCTGGTGCAACCGCTTCAAAGGACCACCAACCACACAACACACCTTCCAGGGGCTCTTCTGCCACCGCTTGTCCCAGCCAGCTGCGTGGCCGCAAGGATGGCAGTGAGAGAGGGTCGGTGAGGGGCTGCAACGCACGGATCAGGCAGGGCAGCAATTTTGCCGCTTGCTGGCCCTTGCGCAGCGCAGCGCGCAAGGTGGCACGCTGGCCTGGCCAGGCCGCTGGCCACAGAGACCCGTGGACGCTGGCAAAGCTGTTGAGCGGTCTAGAGGCCACGGATCACGCCGAAGGCCGGGCTAAAGGCGTCTCGCGCGAACGCGCGGGGACGGCTGATCTCAACAGAAGAACGTTCGAGGGAACCGCAGGCACACGTGATCTCCCCATTGCGCCGCCTACCATCAAACTTCTCCTCGAAAAACACCTCGGCCGCCACCGTGCCGGCCAGCGCGAGCACGAGCACCAGCGTGGCCTTCATGTTGGCGCAATCCCAGACGATCGGGCCCTCCTACTCTTCTTTGATGGAGAAAAATAAAGCAACCCAAATACCTATCCGGATGCGCATTGCGATATCAAGTTGCCGCCAGAGCAGCAAACTGAATCGTGGCAGCTTCGCGGCGGGCAACAAGTGAGGCAGGACAGTCTCTCTGACGATCATGTCGGATTCAGAAGGGATGCAGTGCCTTTTTATGCAGTCGCGTACCTGAGGCGCTCCGCCGTCACTGGTGTGCTTCTGCGCCTTGACCACACCCCTTGAACAGCCAGAGTTCTGCTCATGGTCAGGCCGACGTCAACAACTGCGCGTTGCGCCCTTCATCAGTGTGTTCAAGGAAACCGAGTGCTTGGATGGGTGCTTGCAGCTGGAAATATTGTGATGTCATTTCATCGACATGCGTCAAAAGCTGTGTGCGTCGCAACTGGAAGGGGCCCGACCTCTGCCGCCCGTCATGTGCCCGCAATGTGAAACCCGGCATACCGGTAGGAGGCAGAAGCATCAATATCAACAGTTTTGCACATATATTTACACCCATACAATTCCTGTCAGAGATATATGGCTGTGGACGGTATGCCTGCGCCCAAGCAGGCAGCGGAGGCCGCACAGACTGCAACACAGGGGGATTGCGGGCACCAACGCAAAAGAACACGCCCCCCTTGAACCAGGCTGGCCGCCAACCATGTGGTACATTGTCAATTATAAGCAGCGCACCCCGCATCGCTGCCACATGCGGTGCCAAAATGCTCTGCGCCACATGCCCCAGGCTGCCGCTCACACCGCAATCAAGTGTGCAAACAATACTGTGCCGTGGTGGGCTCGTGCGTGACTCTCTCAGCACATGCCAGCAAAGGCTGGGCCACATGCAGGCCGGAACCACGACTGCCACGGCTGCTCATCCTGCTGGTCGATCTCATCAGACATTGAGCCCACCCCCCTGCCTTCCCTCCTCCTGCCGCCCAACCTGCTCCTGCCGGGTGTCCCCTGGCACCTCCCTCCCCTCCGCACGCGCCTCTGCACCAGCGCCCCTGCTGCTGGTGCTCGCGGTCTGCCGTTCGGCGGCGCGCGCCGCGCTGGAAGGGGCCCGCTCCTGCTGGTGTATAATTATGGGGGCGACGAGCAGCACGCCGGCGCCGCCCCGGGCGCCCAGGGCCGCAGCCTCTCTTGCGGCTGCGGCGCAGATGCTGTCCCGCAGTTCGGGCCCCAGCGTCAGCGCCTCAGGGTCGAACCCCTGGCCAGACGCCACTACAGGCTCGAGCACGTGCAGCGGCGCGCAAAGCCATTGCTGCGCTTGCAGCGGTCCGTTCGGCGTCGCTTTCGGCCGCCCCTGCTCCTTTTTGAGCTGCTGCAACTCCTGCTCCACAGCGGCAGCAGCAACAGCAGCGGCGCCAACCAGCTCGCCTTGAGGCCCCTCCGCCGGTGGCGCCGACGCCGACCTCCGCTGCTCCGCACCCACCGCGACGAGCGAGCGCTCCGCCGACGGCGGCCGCTCCAGGCGGCCGGGCGCGGTCGCGGCGGCCGCGGCGCCAGCGCCGCCGCTGGCAGAGGTGTCTGCTGAGGGGCGGGAGCCACTGCTGCGGCTGCCGTCCTCACCAGAGTCGCGGCGCAGCGGCCCCTGCGGACGCTCCGGCCGCAGGTGTGCGGCCAGCGGCAGCGCCTCGCGCGCGGACGACCCCTGCTGCTGCTGCGGCGGTGCCAGCGCAGGCGCCGGCGCGGGCTCGACGGCGGCGCCACCCCCAACGGAGGCGAGCACAGCGGCCTGCAGCTGCTGCTGGATGTCCGCCCCTGGCCCGCGGCGGCGCGCCTCCTCGTCGTCCTCCTGGCACTGCTGCCGGCGTGCCGCCGCCTCTTCGGCCTCCGCCCTCGCTCGCTGCAGGCGCGCCAGGAGCTCCGCCGCGCGCTGCTGGGCGGTGACGCCCTCTGCCGCCGCGGGCGCGCCGCGGACGCCGAGCAGGGACGACAATGCCGCACCTAGGGTCTCGGCTGCGCCGGGTGACGCCGAGACCGGCGCGCGCGCTTGCGGCGCGGCCGACGGTGGCGCGGCCGAACGCGGGGACGCCGCGGGCTGCGGCTGCCGGTG